CACCGCGCCCGGGACTAAAAATGTCAACTGATGATGTCATTCGATCAATGTCATTGTTAATCAGTGTCAAATCATCCCATCATTACTTCGATGGCTTCACAACAGGCCCTATTGTCTGTCGAACTGGTAAGTCTATAATTAGATAACCAAATAACCTGACGACGGCTTAATATTTAGTAGCCTTTGTCAAGTGACTTAACACAGCAGTTCACGATGATTTCAAGCTTTTACGACTAGACATCTTAATTCAAGGTAGGTACGTTCTTCGGCTACCAGTCGTTTATTGTTTCCGTTTCGAATTTTCGACCTTCGCATCGAGGTCGTTGTCAAGAAACATGCAAGATGTTTCTTGACAACGACCTCGGTGCGAAGGTCGAAAATTCGAAACGAAAACAATAAACGACTAGTAGCCGAAAAACGTACCTACCTTGAACAGCAGTTCACGCTCGCCAACAGCTACCTCACCCACTTAGAAAAACACCAGACCAGGCTCCCGGCCCACCCCAGCGCGCGCGTACCTGTTTGCTCTGCGGCACTTTGTGGGTGGTCAGCAGCCTCTCCATGACGTGTCCGGCCGTCTGGTCACTGTGCTGGTCCACGCTGGGCAGGTGAATCACCTGCAGGGCGGCGCCCGGCCGCGCGTCCCCCTCCTCCAGGTAGTACTCAAAGTGCAGCGTGGTGGCACTCGGCGACAGACTCTGCCGAGGCGAGAGCAGTGGGGTGTTAGGAATGGAGAGCATCTGAACAATGGGAAGCGTATGCCAGATCGACCGGATTTCAGGATGAATATAGCTATCATTCTCTAACGTTGTTCAGGAGGAGGTCCCACCTCAATGTTGGTTTAATCTGTTTAAACAGGTTTGACGCTGCTGTTGTTGTTGTTGTTGTTGTTCCCTCCAGCCCCCTAGGGGGCGTAGCCGATGAGGCTCAATTGGGCGCGGTAGCCGGCGGCCAAGGCCGCCACCGCGCCGTCGTCCCTTGCCATAGACGCTTCCAGGTGAATATTACCCAGGCGCCGCAGGCGGCGTCCCGCCAGCGCCGGGCATCGGAGCAGGACGTGTCGTGGAGTGTCCGCCTCCTCGCGGCAGACGCGGCATCGTGCAGCAGGGCAGCCCATGTCATTGCACTGCGGGCAGTCGGCCTCGGGACGGCGGCCGATGCGGTGCAGGTACTGCGCCGAGCCGCTCCAGTGTCCTGCTCGGAGCTGGTGAATATCAACCGCGACGGCACGGTCGGCCTCCAGGACGGGGCCGGGACGGCGGTCGGCCCATATCGCCCGGTACCAGCCGTCCGGCCAGCGCTGTGCCAGGCGCGCGCAGCGTCTCGTGCAACGGCCTTGCATATCGTGCCACCGTCGATCGGAGTGTCATGTTGGGGTAGGGCGCTGGCCTCGCGGGCGAGGGCGTCCGCTCGCTCATTACCGGGGAGCCCGCAGTGTGCAGGGACCCACTGCATGGTTACTGGCTGGCTCCCCCTCGGTGAGCGCGGCCAGCCAGCAGCCTCCATATATCTGCGGCCAGCGGAGTCCTCTGGGCCGCCGGGCCGCTCCGCAGGAGGGCCAGCGCCGCCATCGAGTCGGTACAGACGACAGTCGGAAGGGAGGTGTCACGGCCATCCATGTTCAGGAGCTCCTCCAGCGCCGCTCTCAGGGCGAATAGCTCCGCGCGGGTGCTGGAGCAGAGGGCGCCTGCCGCGACACGCACCTCCCTGATGTCGCCGTTCGGGGAAATGATGGTGGCTCCTCCTCCTCCATTCAGCACCCCATCCGCGGCGGAGCCGTCTGACCATATCCAGGTCGCCTCGGCCGGAAGCTCCGCCAGACGGCTCTCCGCTGCCTCTCGTCTTGTGTCCGGGTGGCAGTCGCGGCGTCCCCCGGGACCCACCTCCAGGACGATGGTCACACCGGGGACATCGCGCCACGGCGGCCCGGCGGTTGCTAGCCGCGCTTCAAAGGTCAGCGGCGCGCCGCCGCGGCAGACCCGTGCTAGGGCCTCGCGACCGCGGTCCCTCCATCCGGTCGTCGTCTTGAGGCGGCGCGGCGGGGTCGACTCCGCCAGGGCTCGGAGAGGGTCGCCCTCTGGCAGGGACATCGCCAGGCCCAGTAGCCTGGCTGCCACCACCGAGCGGCGCGTGCATGCGGGGGCATGCCCGCCTCCGACAGCAGGGCGAAGGCGGGTGTTGAGGCGGGGCAGCCGGTTATCACCCGGGCCGCCGCCCGCAGCTCCCTGTCGACCAGCTCCAGGTGTGAAGCGGAGGCCGCAGGCATCCACGCCCCCGCCGCGTACTCTAAGGCCCCCCTGATGTACCCGTTGGCCACCGACCTCAATTGGCGTTCGCCCAGTCCCCAGCTCCTCCCGGTCATGCGTCGCAGCTGGGCGACACGGGGGCGGACCTTCTTGCGCAGCTCGGCACAGTGGGCGCCGAAGTGAAGGAGGCGGTCAAAGGTCACGCCCAGGAGTCTGAGGGAGGGGCCGGCAGTCACCACGGCGCCAGACACCTTGATGCTCAAGCTCGACGCGTCGCGGGCCCATTGGGATAGGACGAGGGCCTGTGTTTTCTCGCCGGCGACCCGCATTTTCCATCTTGATGCCCAGCTGGCGATGATGTCCGCAGCTCGCTGGGCTCGGCGGCCGGCCTCTTCGACGGAGGCGCCGCTGCTGAGCGTCGCCGTGTCGTCGGCATACATGAAGATGTCTGTGCCTGGCACGGTCTTGAGCGCCGTGATCAGGTCGGCCGACCACAGCGTGTAAAGCGTTGGGGCCAGAACACTGCCTTGCGGGAGTCCGGCCCGGAACGGGCGCTCGCCTCCTCGGGCGCCGTTGACCTCGACCGCAGCTCTCCTGTCCCGGAGAAACGCCCATATCCATGCGGACATGCACTTGGGCACCCCCAGGCGGAGGAGCTTGAGGCGGAGCATCTTGTGATCGATGACATCATACGCCCGTGAGAAGTCGAAGGCGAGGAGTACAAACTTTTCCGCGGTCTTGCCCTCTTCCGGTCGTCCTCTCGGTTTCGGCTTGTTCCAGCCATCTTGGACCCGCTGCACCAGTCTTGCCAGGTTCTCTTCAGCCGATCTGCCTCGTCGGAAGCCGACCTGTTCGGGCGGCACGAGCCCATCGCGCTCTACCAGATGGTTGAGGCGGGCGGCGATTAGGCGCTCGGCCAGCTTCGCCAGGTGGCTAGTGAGCGCAATCGGCCTATGGCTGGCGATCATCTTTGGGTCCTTCCCAGCTTTGGGAACTGGGATAATGGTCGCCCGGCGCCACGCAGACGGCACCTGGCCTGTGGACCAGGACAGGTTCAGCAGTCGGAGGAGAGTGGTCTTGGCACCCGGGCCCAGGTGGCGCAGGTGCTCGGCGCAGATGTCGTCTGGGCCCGGCGCCTTCCCACACTTCATGTTGCGTAGCTGCGTGTCCAGTTCCTGAGGCGTAAACAAGGAACAGGCCTCGGTACGGGCATCGGAGCAGACGCAGGGCTCGGCGCGGAGCCTTGTCAGCTCGGACTTCGTCTTGCGGTCTTGGAGCTTATTCCGGACCTGTCGGCTGACACTGGCGTACTGTTTGGCGAACGCCGCGGCCTTGGTCCGGTCCTCCACGGCGCGACGTCCGTGGTCCCCGAGCGCTTGGCCGGGCGGAGCTTGTTCCGCCCCCTCCATCTTCCGGAGAATCTTGTGAACTCTGCCGATGTTGGCAGGCCGGTTCAGCTCCTCGGTCGCGAAGTTCCTGAAAGAGCGCGCCTTCGCCTCCTCCTCGATCTTCGCTGCGCGGCGTTTCGCCTCCACCCAGCGGTCTCTGGCATCTGTCGATCCGGGAGCGGCGTCCAGTGCTGCCCTCGCGCTACGGCGGTCGCGCACAGCCTCCTCCAGTTCAGGGTCCATGGCCCAGGGCTTGGGGTCGGATCTGGCCCCGCGGGGGACATGCAGCACGCTGCACTTCAGCAGCGCGGCAGTGAAGAGCTCGTTGAGTCTTTGACGCTGCTCGACAGGTAGATAGTTCGAACCAGTTGTGGTTATGTCGGAGGACTCAGCTGTGATGCATTTGAACTAAACGACATATTCTCGCGTAGCGTGCACAGTAACATGTCATTAACGTCCTCAGCAGTTGCAATGCGGGGGATTACACTGTGCCGTCCCCCCCCCCCCCTGGTGGACAGCCCGTGTCCGGGCGGGAGGCGTGTCGTGCCGTTACGTGACGCCCCGGCGCGGCTCTCCACGCGGCCGTCACGGTGGTGTCGGTGCGTGTTCACCAGTAGTCGGCCGACTCGGCAGATCAATGGCGGTGGGTCAGGGCGGGTCGGGACACGATAAATAGAGCATCGGGAAACCGCGGCACGACATCGCACGGACAGACTGCTCCTGACACAGAGAACACGCGGACAAACCAATACACACAGCGACAGGCACAACTGATAAAGACAGATGAAAAGTCGGTCGTTAGGGTAAAATGGGCAACAGCTGTGGGCCTGTGGCGTTTTGACATCAGATAGACTACAAATTGATAAACCTTGCCCCCCCCTCGCCACCTATATCGCACCCCTCCCCCATTTTCAGCTGTCATAACTCATAAATCAAAGAGGACAAGACACACTTGACACACCTGGCGCAAAGCAGTTTTGTCACACCACTATCAACACCCCTCCCTCCCCCCGCTGCCACTCCCCAGAGAAACCAAACAGTTCCCCGACACGTCAGACAGAGTCAGAGCGGATAGCGAGCGTCGTAGCCTGTCGTTCCGACTGTACGTACCGACACGGGGACGTCACGGCAGCAGTCGGCCAGGCCGAAGCCGTTCTCTCGGCCGCCCCAGCTCTGTGGGAAGACGGGGACGGAGAGCGGCGGTTACGACGGGTACCTACGCAGCAAGGGATATGGTCAGAGACGGGCGGCCCGGTGACAACGGGGATCCGATGGTGGCGCAGCCGCCGCAATGGGGCTCGTTTGTACATCCTATCGACAAGCCTAGAAATCGACCTGAGTGTACTGATATGTAAAAGCGTCGGGTCATCAGATTTCAACACTTATCAGAAGCAAGCCATCCAAACCACCTAAATTCCCACAGGGACCAGTGACTATATAATATCCACACAATTAGCCACATTTAGCTTAAATAGCAAACACGTCTCAGGCCGTTCGCTAAAACAGCGATTGGTTTCGGTCGGCAGTCGGTCTCCTGGAAGTGGACAATAGCCCACTGCTACTCGCGCGTCGGTGCATGGCAGATGAGGAATACTGACCTAACGGCAATGCCCCTAATACAGCCACACAACGTTTTGGTCACATGCCAGGAGTTGGTGCGGTAGACCGCGAGTCGGATGAAAGAGGGCTGGGTGGTATGTTTCAAATTAATGAAATCACCTAATGGAACTTGCAATAATCAGATGGAGAAACGATCACCAGCTAGCGATTAAATCGTAGGTTATGTAACACTTTATCGTACTATATTCTCAGGAACATTACCAGAGCATTTAGGAGCACGACTCAAGCTACCCCAATTAAGATATGGATCAGCTGTCGACGTCCCTAGACGAAATTCATCAACATTCGGGGCGTAGTACTGGCAAAAATAGCCTCCGCCGTGTCTATTTTAGCATAATGATGATGAACGGCGTGGTAATCAGACGGCCGTTTCAGACGGTCCGGGTGCCCGGGTGCGTAGCAAGTCCCCCTTCTGTGGAGCTCTGGAACGGAGGCCCGACGCCCGGGTGCGTGGAAAGTAAAGTACCTCTTCTATGGAGCTCTGGAACGGTCTTTACCGGTGACGTGCCGAGCCGAGTGTAACTATTAGACGCACAGGCCGGCGAGTACCTATCGCATTACAGGTACGCGCTCATTTGAGCACAATTATGCGCATCGTACGCGGAAGACCCTGACGATTAATAGTCTCTAGGTCACCAGCGGCCTTGTGTGGTAATTTTTGCCAAACTGCGTTTTTGGCTAAGCTCCTGTAATGATTCCACCTGGTGCGACATACTACACGTGACCACAGCGTCACGTGTGTGCAGTCGCCAGTCAGCAACTATGATGCAATTACAGCAGCCCCAGTAGCTTCGTTCCGCGCCACTGGGTATCATTAGACACATTCAGGCACAAAACACGTCCCCAATCACACAGCCCATCCCGCCTGTTACCAGCTCGGTGGGTAGAATACTCCACGGTAACTGTGGGTTCGGTGATATGCGCCACTTCACTCTGTGGACCCGACCTACCTCGGCCAGGTGGTACAGGCGCACGACCAGCGCCTCCCGCCGGTCAGAGCTCAGTCGAGAGATGAAGTTACTCCTCTTGCTGAACATGTAGATGAGGTTGAGAACATGAAGAACCACCTGTGAAGCAGAAGCAACTGCCCAGTCAGAAAAGCACATATTCTATGGAGCGGAAGAAATTGCCCGGTTCGGATATCACGTCGATCTAAACGAGCTCAAGCTAGACAAATGAAAATCTACTAAAACAGACTGAACAATGAACAGGTTGAAGTGTTAACCAAACAAAGACAGTATATTAAAAGGAGCAAAACATCAGGCTTTGTCAATTCAGGCTCCTTCCATACTCAACAAGTATCCATGCTTCGCCAGGTGGAGCGCCGGTTGTATGAGTCACCTGCATATCGGAGGCCTCCAGCAGTTGGATGAGATGCTCCACTGAGTTGTACAGGTGACGTGAAAATGAATGTTCGATGAGGAGCGCGGTGAAATGAAGTGTCTGTAGGAGTAGCTCTCGCTTCTGGAAACGTAAGGTCAAAATAGAGGTGTAAACATAATTTTCCGATAGCACCTATGTATGTAGTACGCGATGTTAGCATATTCTACAAGAGCAAGCAAACTTTCAGATTGATTGATGTTTGAGATTTGTACTGGCACTATCAATTACAATAAAAAAACAATACCAGCGGCAGCATCGTCCTGCTATACTGCTATAAACCAGCCACACTACGCATCAGACTGCCGAGAACAATAGTCAAATGGTACTATCACGTGAAGTGCGAGACCGGAGCACCAGTTGGTAAAATTGTACCCGGGAGTTGCCGATATTAGTCACGAGACTAGATCGCAGCCAGATCAACAGATACTGTGACCATTAAGAGCTATATGCTATTCGATCTGAACACGCTACGTCAGTGGAAATTATCATGCCATTATAGAGAGGCGCAGAGAGAACTGGTAATTCTATAGGCTGTTACAATACGCATCGTCGGAAAAATATAAATGATAACAATAAAGACATCATTAGACACCGCTGAACCTACTGCGAAAGGTTCATTACTGAGAGCGACCAGTAGTTAGCCGGACAGTGTGCTGGGTGGCGTCGCCGGCGTCGCGTGCACTCACCGGTGCATAGTCGGGCATGTCACAGGTCAGGAGCCAGCCGTCCGGCCGGACTCTGGAGGCCGCCTCCTCCAGCACCGTGTCCAGCACGTCCAGAGGCTCGATCCAGTGGAACAGCTCGCACTTGCCCAGGTTCCATGTCTCAAACTTTTTCAGCTCAGTGAGCAGCTCAGCCTCGCTACAGTTCTTCAGGCGCTCTATTACCGCCTTACAGTCCGGCGGCTGTGGGGAGACAGAGAGCAATCAGACAACACAGCTGCTGCAATCATGGTCAAAGGTGCTCTGGAACATGATGCATAAAACTGGCACAGGTAGGGTACACATTACTGATCTAATATTTACATAGGTATATTGGCTTCGCAGCTTTTATCAAAGCAGTGCCTTGTTGGTCTACAAATGAAATATATCCAAGAAAAATTCAAAGATGTCTAGCAGTTAAGCATGAATATTTGAAGGACGTTTAAATTGAATCAGAAACCATTAAGGGACAAACTGGATCAAACTGCATGCTTAAATTGATGTCCAGTATTTAGCTATTTAATGAGATGCAGACCCTTTTATACTGCAAGGAGGTTGCCTCCTTCCCACCCATAAAGTTATGGGATTCTGCTGCATATGAGAAATAGCATTTAAGAGCTGATACAAATAGGTGTGAAGTTTGACATATTGCAAAGTGCAAACAGGTACCAGATTATAAAAATGATATGGAAGACATCATGGTTGCTAAGACGTTGTTATGAGTTATGACTTATGATATTGTCTAAGCCATAGATTGTGTCAAATGACAGGATAAAAAAAAAACTTTCAAAAGAATGCAAACAATGTCATAAAGAAGTGAATGTGCACTCAAGAACACTTGGCATAGGTGATTAAGCAGATTAAGCATTGGTATTTGCAGGCTGGCTTAGATGATGCTCAAGCTGCATAGCCTTTGATATCTGACTGAAGCATCCAAGTTTGAGCCAAGGTTGCTCTTCATAATTATAATACACAGTGACTAGACATTCATTGCTTTAGCACCAAGAATAAATTAAAACCACAGATGCTTTTTGGAAATGATATTAATTTAATGGTAACTGAACAGTACACTTAACTATTTAGATAGTTGAATAATGTTTCAGAAAGAAAAGACATCCTGCATGCAGCTCTATCAGTGCAAGACACATGTAAAAAAAAACAATCAAAATAACAATTGAAGCTTTTTTGATGTAGGTAGTCTTTAAACAATGAACAAACAAAAAATATTAAGCATGAAATGGTTGAAAATAACTGCAGTGATATAGAGAGCCAGGAAATTTTTACTCAGCATAGGACTCAATAGGGAATACTAACACAACATGACATAATTAAATAGAGGATAATGCAAGAACGATAGGTAATCAAATGGTGTAGGTATTATCAGAAAGCAGCCAAATGTAAAGAATCAAAACAGATAGGTAGAAGATAAATACATACCACTTGTGAGCTGCTTTTACGCAGCTTTGTCCTGTCAATCTTCATGGCTGAATAGTGCAGGTTATGTCATGTTTACTTTCTGTAAAAGAAAATAATCAATCATTTCCAGGTAATCTGAAGATAAATGCAGGGGTGCATACTTTTGCCAAGTTGGGTGACACCACTAAACACTACATAGGATCTAATATTTTTCATTATGCCAACTACCTAGGCACTTACAGCAGATCTTATGGGGTGGAATGGGTACAGCAAATCTGCTGTCACCCTAGTGGTAAACTTGACCTCAGCCATCTGTTGCGGCCCCAAAGCCAAGCTGGCATGGAATTGGGGGAAGAACTCGTGCTACCCAACTCAGCACAATTCCACACCACTGGATAAGTTAACATTACAATACAGGATCGTAGTGGGATGTTAAGCAAGAGTTCAGTCAATGACCCATTAGTCCATTGTTTTTGGCCGTCGCAAATTCGACCACGTCACTGACCTGCGCGAGAAACTCAACTGGATGCCGCCCGAATTTATGTACAAACTTCAAACCATGGCCACTGCACGTAAGGCGATACACTACGGCGAACCGGTAGCACTTGCCTCTATGTTTGCCAAAAACCGGGACTCCTCAACCAGGAATAGAAATACACGTCAGGATAACCTTCTCCAGCTCCAGCGTCCCAGACTAGAAACCGGTAAGCGGCGTTTCAGTTACCGTGCCGCCGAGCTCCTAAACGACCTACCTCCCGACCTCTCACAGCTGCCACCCTCTAAATTCGCACGCGCTGTCAAGTCTCTGTGGAAAAACGATAGACCTTCGTGATGGCCTGAATTAGGCACTCGTCTTGTATGTACATATATAAGTACCTACACGGTATGTTAGAAATCGTAGCATATAGAGTCTTCCTGTGTGTGCGTGTATGTGTGTGTGTGTGTGTTGTTGTTCGACTGGTCTCTGTTCCTGCATGCTTATACCCGACTCAGACTCTGGGCAGTAATCGCCACGCCATGTGTGGATCGCCCATGATCGTAAATACAATACAATACAATACAATACATTGACTTATTTCTGCCTTCTTCTTATACCATACAAACATCCCTTGCCCCTCTTTTGTGCTTATATTTGGTTTATTTCCACTTCTTAGCAGGGAGTGTCTCAACATTTATCTCCTCAGTTTTTCTGGTGTTAACGTAAGGGCTCTGTTGTCGCTGGGTTTGAGGGCCGGGGCGCTCCTCCTGGTCACCTGTTCATGGGTGGTGGTGTATAAAAAATGTCACTTTTGTTACCTTTGTTGGATGCAAGTAGAAATTAAACAAAAAATTCACCTTAACACTACATAGGATCTAATATTTTTTCATCATGCCAACTACCTAGGCACTTACAGCAGATCTTATCCAACCCTACCAAATGAATCAGTTCAGTAGTGACTAACAAGTTCTAAGAAGAAGAAGAAGAAACAGAAGAAACAGTGCAGTAGGTTTTCTGCATTGCATGGCATGATTCACTGTACTGGTACCAACATCCTGCTGAAACATAGGTGCACACAGCAAACTCAACTCATTCACAAATCACATGACACACAGGCATGAGGCAGCCCGCAGCAGTCAGCAGTGCTAAGGTATTGAGGCCTTTCTAAGGTAAAATATACCTTTACTTATTTTAAATATCACAGTCATCATCATCATGAAGCTGCAGATTGATATCAGTCAAGGTAAATTTATTATACGGCCCTCGACGAGACCCAGTTTCATCTTTGTACCATTTGTTTGATCAGCACAGCACTTACAAAACCAAACCAGTTGGGGGAGGTTTGGTCAATGGTTGTCATTTTTAGCACATGCCATTTTTGGCAACCATGTGCTAAAAATGACAACGCTATCAGCTATTTTTAGCAACGATGAAGCCGATTTCACTCCTCAGCGAGGAAATCACGATTTTGGAAATACAAGCACTGATTTTGGAAAAGAAGTGCTGCCACCTGGTGCAAGAAGAAGAAACCAGCTTTAATATGGCCGTTGTTTGTATGGTAGTCCAACGTTGAAGTATACCCTTTTTTGTGGCCCGAAGTTGGAACTTTAAATTGAAGCATCCGAAAATGATCGATATTGATCGAAATCATGATGTTGATGAAAAAAATAATATGTTAAGTTGAGAGAGGAGGCCATTTTATCCAGATGCGGTGGTTTACTTCTTGAAATTATTTTTGCTTACGACGACTGCCATGTAATGAGGGATAATTAGCAGCCGTCATTAGCAAAAATAATTTCAAGAAGTAAACTACTGCATCTGGATAAAATGGCCTCCTCTCTCAACTTAAAATATTATTTTTTTCATCAACATCATGTTTTCGATCAATATCGATCATTTTCGGATGCTTCAATTTTAAGTTCCAACTTCAGGCCACAAAACAAACTACCATACAAATAACAGGCATATTAAAGCTGGATTCTTCGTCTTGCACCAGGTGGCAGCACTTCTTTTCCAAAATCAGTGTTTATCTTTCCAAAATCTGCATTTCCTCGCTGAGGAGTGAAATCGGCCTCATCGTTGTCAAAAATAGCAGAATCGTTGTCATTTTTAGCACGTGTGACAAAAATAGCACGTGCTAAAAATGACAACGATTGACCAAACCTCCCCCGACTGAAACAGACTTACAGAGTCACCACAAAATATAACTTAAATGTACATGAAGTGAAAATATACCTGCATGCTTTTAAATGGAACACGTAAAATATTACTAACCTAAGCACATGTGGGAGGTCAGCACTTTTTAACAGAGCATATTATGGCGCACTACCTCAACATTCTTTGTTTCAAACGGCACTGATAAATGGATGATAGAACTCACGGTATCGTAAAACTTGCTGATTTTAAAAACCGAATTGCAGGCTTATCCCTTCAAAATACAGTTATAACGAAAAACTAATCGAGAGATCTCCAATATTCACACAAACATCGCATGCATACACAAGAAGATGCAATCATTCACATTTGTCTCGATAATTCGGTGTGGCAAGTGCTGCTTTTAGGTGAAATTGCACTATACTAGCTTCATTTTCTCAATTTTCAGAATCGGAGCAAAAACTCCTTTAGAAAAATCCTATCTTGTAAAATCTCAAAAAAATGCTCACTTCAAGTTAAAATCAACTGATAATATTGTTCTTTTTTCGTTTAAAACATAGTAGAGTCCATTTTGCACTACCAAAAATTTAATTGATTTTCGGCTTTTAAAAGGCTTTTAAGATCTATTATGCCTAGTTCATCGTTCAAAAATGTGTTTTGTTTTTTAAAAACATGTAAATATATAATTTGAAAGAACATTCACTTACTTATGCACATGAAGTATCGGAAGGATAAACATTCCAGAATATATCCCAGAACAGCTGATAGGCTGCAGGTCACGTGACTTTGTGGGCAGTCAAGATGGCTGAGCCAGTGTTTTCAACAAATCATGATGTTAGAAATGGGTCGAGGAGGGGCGTGATGAATAGAAGTATGTCAAAATCTATAGACAAAGAAGATATCTACACCCTGAAGGATGAGGTCAGTCACTTGAAAAGGGTAGACGTAAGGCCTTGCTTTGGGAAATGTTGTGTGCGCTACGTTTGCCACGACTGTTTTTGTCAATAGTTAGGATGGATTCTGGCACAAAAATGTTTATTGTATTGCTGCTTTAATAAGAATGATATCATTGTTTATTAAATTGAGCTGTAGGCAAGGAATCAAGGGCTGCTTACCACCTATTTAGCAAGGCAGCACCAGATAAGATTTATGGTCAATCACTTGAATCATTTAAGTGATTGCCCATTTAATAAGGTTAAGCATAATGTTTTAGATTCTTTTCAGCCAATAAGCTCTTTTGATTTTACTTAATGTTGCTGTTATGTGATGCAGATCAGTATGTGTTCATGGACCAACATTTCCTGACTTGATTTGCTGAGGGCCAGGGCCAATCACAAGATGCCGCACTATTCAATCCAATCATCTAAAGAAGTTTTGTTTATTTGTTTTTAAGTGAGAGAAAGGCTTTTGATTTTTTACTATCCTGTAGTTTTAAGTCAAAGTGAGTCAAGCATATCAGGCATTGGTACAGTCAACTTGTTTCATGGATTGGATCCATGAAGATCCAATCCATGAAGTTTATGTCATGCTGTTTGGGTCCAATAGTTTATGCTTATTTGGGTAGGTTCATTGGCATTTAGTTTTTTAGTGTGACGTTCATTCAATGAACATCTATTCTATATGCATGCAGTAAATTTGAAAGTCATGTATGATGATATTCTCATGTCTTTGGTCTTGAAGAAAGAGTATTTGCTGTAAGTTATTTAGCAGTTAGCACCTTCATAGTTTTGTGATGTTTTGAAACTGATACCTACCTAGCTACTTACCTACTTAGGTAGCTTAGTGCCCCTTCATCAACTTTGAAATGATAAGGCCCATGGACTTGAGCCTAGTTCCTTATCTATTAAAGTTATAACTATTGTTGGTGCTTTTTATAGATAAGATCAAAACTTGTGAAAATGAAATTATGAACAGATGCAAGTGCAACACCTGTCAAAAGCAAGTGCTCTGCTAGATTTCATGTGAAGCTGTTTAATTTAACATATCAGTTCAAGGAACTTAGATTCAATTGCAGCATAAACCATTGAAAAATGATTTTGAGAATTAGGTAGATAAAAGTATAAAGATATAAGATGCAAGATGATTGAATCTAATCATCTTACACCAACTGATCAGAGGCTTGAAGGAAGATTGGTAGGTAATGTTGAAAAGAATTAGTTGAAAATATCAGCTATCAATGATTAATTTCAGTCAGTTTTACCACTCTGTCAATGCTGTCTTTTGGCCATGCTGTACTGTCCTTGATAACTTGTAAGGATTTTTTGGGTGTAGTCATGCTGATAACATGTGAGTGCTGTTAAACCCTTTGCTTTTCTTAACCTGCAGGTTTTGAAGTCATACAGCCGTTTTCTCCTTTTCATTTGTTTTGGTGTTGTGCCTTAACCCTCGCCGGACCTATCGGTTTTCTACATACGCGCCGGCCGAGGGGGGGGGGGGGCGGGTACGACCCCCCTCGCCGTTTCGCCCCTGGTGGAGCTAGCGCGTCGCGGAAAAAACGAGCGTGTGCGCCGTTACGAGACGCAGAGATTGGTACCCGATTTTAAGGTCCTAGGTCAACCGGTGACCTCTGAGGTCAGGTCAAGTGCCCCAAGGTACGGTTCAGTTTTTGGTGAATAACTTCGCAAAAAACGACCGCAGAGCGCCGATTTTGGCAGCATCGTGTTCGTCTCGCTCAGGCGCGTCGAATGATATACTTTTTGTCCGGGTCAGGTCAACTTGGGGTGTTGACCTCAGGTCAAGGTCAGGTCAGCACCCCCAGGTCACGAAGTTGGTCGAAAGAGGTCATGTCGCATATCATTCGATTTGGCAGGTCTTCCTGAGTCCATTGGTGGCTTTCCCGACTCGCTAGCTCAATTTGATCAAGAGTTATTGACGAAAAACTAATATGACCTTGATGACGTCATAAATGACGTCATGCAAGGTCAACATTGCAAAAGTGACGCATCTAACCTTGCAAGGAGTGCATAAAATCACGATTCTGTGTGCTTGAGATAGTTGGAGATCGTTCCCGGCGCCAGAATAGCAGTTTTCATTTTTCCCCATTGACTTATAATGGTGAGGTCACGAAAATGACCTGACCTCATATGACCTTTAGGAAAATTCCGAGATATACAAGTTGTGGGACTCATAATGGATACTAGATCCTGCAAGTTTCATTTCCCTGTGACATCTCCTCTGGCAGTGAGGGCGTTGCGAAGTTGCGACATCTGAAGACCGTGCAGAGGTTCACTTATGACGTCATAGGTCAGTGACCTGACCTGACCCAAAAATGCGGTTGGTGTCAAAAGATGCGGCTTGGATCAAAGGTCAGGTATGCCAGGTTTCAGCTCTCTATCGCCAGCGTGTTCGGAGCTATCGCGAAAAAACCCTATGGGGGGGGGGCGGCACCCGCCCCCCCCCCCCTCGGCCGGCGAGGGTTAACCCTCGCCGGCACAGGCCATTTTGCGTCCTTCGACGGCACAAGGGGGTATGATGCAACAATGGTTTATGCTGCTATTGAATCTTAAGTTGGTACGACCCCCAACCCTCCCCCTCGCGTTTGGCCCCTGATCGAGTTAAACTTCGCGGAAAAAAACGAGCGTGCTGCTCGTCACGAGAGGAAGCCGATGATATCCAATTTTAAGGTCCTAGGTCATCGGGTGACCTTCAGGTCAGGTCAATGACTCGAAAATCGGGAAAATCGGGACCTGTTAGAAAGTCGTAAAGTGTGGCTGCTATGGGGTCTTCCGGGGTGCTGATCACGAATATCGTGTTAGTTTTGATCAGAGATGATGTCTTTAAGCATTTAGACCAGGTCGGGTCAGGTCAGGTCAACCGGTAGGGGTCGTGACGGGTATTCGTAATACGTGTCAGTCGCCTCTGACAGTTTCGTAACATGTTACGAAGGCACCAAAACTACTTCGTAAATGTTCAAACGGTTGCGAAATTCGAAATCAGCTCCAAAAACTAGCCTAGAAACATGTAAAACTCGAAAAAGTGAACCGAGGTCACCAAAGGTCAATGACCTGACGTGACCTTCAGGTGACCTTGACGTCCACCCTAATGCATGGGAGCAACATCAAATCACATGTTTGAACGTTTGAAACCACGAAAAGCTTGCAAACGCGCGGCTAATGCGAGCCGACATACGCCGAATTGCGATTCCGGCCAAACATGGTCTCGGAAAGTAGGTCATAGGTCAAAGGTCATTTGGGTCAGGGTCATGAAATTATCAGGATAGGTGTAAAATTGATCAATGCGAGGGTACTGAAAGTTTCGTCGCGATCGGCCGCTTTTTACGCGAGTTATTCGCGAAAAACCTTAGGGGGTTGCATCAACCCCCCTATGCCGGCGAGGGTTAATTTTAACCCTTGCCTGTGTGCGGCACTTTCCTACGCCCCGTTGGGCCCTCTGCCGCTCGGCCCCTGATCGAGTTAAAGCTTCGCAGAAAAAAAAAACGAGCGTACTGCCCGTGAGGACAGGAAGTCGATGATACCCGGGTTTAAGATCCTTGGTCCTTGGTTGACCTTCCAGGTCAAGTCAATGACCCAAAAGTCGTGAAAATCGAGACCTGTCAGAACTCCGTAAAGTAAGGTTGTTATGGTTTGTCGGGCTGCTGATCGCGAGCTTCATGTAAGTTTTGATCACAGATGATGTATTTTTGCATTCAGGTCGGGTCAGGTTAGGTCAGGTCAATTAATAAGCACCCTGCCGGCTATTCATAGTATCTATGGGTTAACCACCACTAATGGCGTTGTAACATGTTACGAAGGCATTAAAACTACTTTGTAAATGTTGAAATGGATGCTAAATTGGAAGTCAGCTCCAAAAAACAACCTTAGTAATGTGTAAAACTAAAAAAAATGTGAAGCAAGTTCATCAAAGGTCAATGACCTTGATTGACAACGTGTCCTTGTCACCCACCATAATGCATTGGACCAACATCTTTTCACATGTTTGAACGTTTGCAATCACAAAAAGCTGGAAACGCATGGAAAATGTGAGCTGACATATGCCGAATCTTGATTCCGGCCAACCTTGGTCTCGAGATATATGTCAAAGGTCATTTAGGTCAGGGTCATGAAATTTTCAGAGTTGGCGTAACATTGATCAACTCGAGGGTACTGAACGCCTCGTCGTGATCGGCCTCTTTTTGCGCGAGTTTGCGAAAAAAGAAATCGAGAGGGGGTCGGATCGAGCCGATCGAGGAGGTCCATCCGACCCCCTTCCCCCTACAGGTGCGAGGGTTAAAGATGGCAATTAATGCTGTTGTACTATGTGCCATAACTATCAATCTGGAGACTGGGAACCTGAAACATGTCGAGTGCAGGCCACATTTCTTACATGATCTATATTATCAATTATCATGTCTTAATGCAAACAGTAAATGCACATTAGTGTTTTGTGGGGGGGGGGGGGGGGAGGTGCCTGTCCTCTGCGGCTCGCTGGCTCACAGGGCAGCCCGCCGCAGCCTTTTTCTACCGTCCCTCTCCCCTCCCCACGGGGGCCCGCCCGCTGCAGCCCTCTCGTACTGTCGGCCCGCCCGGGAGTCCGGCGCAGTCTCCTATGACTGCCCCCCCCCCCCCCCACGGGAGCCCGCCCGCCGGAGCCCCCTCCTACCCTCGGCCCGTTATCTGGCCCGCCGGCACCGACGGGCCGACTGACGGGCGCGCCTGTTGTCTGGCGCCCGTCTGCCACCGGCCCCGCGTGTGTATGTGTGGGTGCGGCGGCGCTGGGCGGCGGCCAGACTGTCGCACAGCTCGCCGACTGGCTGGCCAAGCTCTCTGTGTTGACACCGGGTACTGGCCGGTGGCCCACGGCCAGCTTGGCTCCGAGCTCCGCGGGCTCCGAGATTGCCGTCCGACATTGTGCGGAATCGGCGGGGAAGGAATGTTGAGGGTCAGCTTAGCTGTTTACACGTGTGTGCACTTGCAGTTTCGTCG